GTTAAATCCAATAATTCATGCCAATAGCTTGAGACAATCAGTAAAAGTTGGCTGCTTTTATTATTGTAGGTATTATTTTATAACATTATTATACTTATTGAAATAAACATTGATAATATAAATATGTATTTCAAAAATATAAATAGTATAAATTATTTTACGTTACTTCTAAAGCCCTAGAGAATCTGTTTCTTATCTCTTTCTACACTTGTATCTCTATGAAAGAGATTTGCTCAATACAAACCTATACTGCAAGGAAAAATAATGAAAAGTAATGACCTAGGGTTCTAGGATTTTTCTCTGAGTTTCTACAATAAGTTGTAAACCTAAGACCCAGGTTACTTCATTTCCTCTATTTACTTTCTCTGACCAATCCGGGCAGGTTAACATATCACTGCAGTTAGTCCCTAGTCTAATTTGTATACATACATATTCAAGGCTTATCTGCATCCACAATTGTATGTTTAATTTACAGATAATTCTGTGAGGTGGTAAAGTAATTTAAGGCAGGGTCTGTATCTTAACAACCTTTGTATCACAAATGACATGACATTCTCTGGACAGAAAAAATAAATTGTGAATGGAGAATAGTTTCAGGGGAGAAAATATACGTTGATAATAATTAAATAAACATGACGTTAATCAAACATTCCTGTTGTTCTGTACTACCACAAGAATATTGATGACTCTTTGCAGCCTGCCCAATTCCCTTGTTCCCATCTCTCATTATCCCTTATGCAATCAGTGATTCTTTTCTCAGTCTAAACCCAAAGTCGAGTTCCGTTGTGGAAACATTTCTTCTACCTGAAGATGAATTAGATATGGAGTCACTCTTTGCCAGAAGAGTCGCCAGTGTCATGACAAAGGCAATAGTTTCCTAGCTCTGGAAAATGTGTCCCCAAACCCTCCTCCCCCATCTCATGAGCTCAATCACAGAAACAGAGGTCACGCATTCCTGTGCTTCAAAAGTGCTTTTTCTCCTGCTACCAAGAAAGTTTACCCAGAAAGAGTTGAGAACCAATCCATATTCTGCTGGGAAAGGTTTTGAGCATAAGCCAGATTTTTCAGCCCCAGGCATCTGATGTTGTGGGAATGATGAAGAGGGTGAAAATACAGCTGGAGATGAGAGAGATGGGTTCCTGTTTCTCATAGCTCCTCATCTGTTAAGTAAGATGGAGAAGCTAGTATCAATTCTTGAAATTTTCTGGTTCACTTCACAGCTTGTACATTGCCTGCATTCTCAACACCCCTAGCAACATTGGTATCACCTAAAAGCTTGTTAGAAATTCAAAACATCAGGCCCCTCTAAGACCTATGGAATCAAAATCTGTATTTTTAACTACATCCCCAGATGATTAGTATTCACATTACATTTTGAGAAACGCTATTATACTTCAAACACATACTTTTACTTATCTGTGGCTACATCATTAACAAGTCACTCATTTACTTTCTTAGGTAAGTTAGGTCTCAGCACCTGGCACTCATTTACTTGAGTACTGGGTCAGTCTTACAAGTGGCTGCTCATCTGAGTCGGCCCTATCAGATTGCAGGGCACACACTGGGAGCAACAGAAACAGCATCACAGCGACGTGTGGCACCACAAGAGATGAAGCAATCTCTCTGAAAGTGGCAGACCATTTCAGTGATTAAAAGTTCTACCTTTAGAGTAAAACAATCTTTGTTTATAACTTCTACATATCACTTTGAGCATTGTGACTGTCCAGACGACAGTCGAATGACGTAAAATCTCATTTTCTTAACCTGTAAAATGGAAATAATGAAGTTCCTACTTCACAAATGGTTGTGTTGATGAAGCAAGATAGTGCATTCTTGACACAGCATATGTGCTCAATAAATTATTATAATTATCATCTGCCCTAGGTGAAGAGATGTGAGTTATACGCTCATGTTTACCACTAGCAAAATAGATACAAACAACTCACTTCCAGTCTCATTGGTAGCTGTGAGATTCTTTTACTGAATACTCTTATTTATCTAATAAATAATGAGTTTCTTGTGGGTTCCAAAGACTGTGCTATATCTATCAATGCAAATTGAACACGTACCTGTCCTCAGTGCGTCATGGGCCTGTAAACATGAAGGGATTTCACTTAACAATTTTGCACGAGAATTTCAAGTCAGAGTAATCGAAGAATTATCCTTTACAGGGGATTCTGGTCATGTCCCTCCAAGGGTACAGGAGGGACCAGATCTCTAATCATCCTAGACAGGTCTAGCCTAGATGGAGGAAGATGAACTCCAATTGCCACTTCTGATGGACAGGAGAGTAATCACAAAACTAGGGATGAAGAAAAGAGAAGAACTCACAAGGAAAGGGTGCAGGAGCATTTCAGAGATTGAGTGCAAGGGGGTTTAGAAAGTGAGATGTTTCGGAGTGCCTGAGGTGACTTAGGAGATTCAAAAAGAAGGTTTTTGCTTCTCTTTTCCCAACATTACTGTGGGTTTTGAATAACTTTTGGCAGTTACGCATTGTTTCCTTCATTGTGACTCCACTGAGCTTAGGCTCCAAGTTTTGTGAATTTATTTAAATAAAAGAACATCAAGGATATATTGATGGTATAATGATGGATATCTGCCCGTAAAGGCCAGTAGTATGACTCATTTAATAAAATCTCCTTTAGAGTTAAGCAGATGTAGATGCAAATCTCATCGTTTTTACCATCTCCATGAAAAGGTTTTATTACTTCCCAAGCCTCAGTTTATTGATTTGGGAAATGAGGATCAAATAAGGCTTATACCACTGTGAGGTTTCAGTGAACAAACTCATTATTTCACAAAGTTGAAAGAGGCTACAAGGAATACCCTGTCTTTACCATACCTGTCTGACAATAAACATCTCTGGTTCCAGAGGCAATTTTAACTCTACCTCGCCTTTTTCAGATTTAAGATATTCTCTCTTCCAAGTTTACCACAAACACCTTGGATCTTATTAATTCTTATGGTTGATTGTCCATTTATGTCCCTGTATTTTTAGAATATAACTTCCTTCTTTTAGAACATAAACTAGTTTAGAGCACTTCCACATTAAGATAACACCACCAACATTATTATATATATGCTCATTCGATCACATATATTACCATTTATATTATAGTCCTCTATGCCTCGTGGAGAAATGAGTGTAGCTTTTGGTACCTTATTCATCTACATTTTTATTTTATTAATTTTTTATGGCGGTATAATTACCATATGATAAATGCATAGATATTAGGTATATGGTTTAATGACTTTTGAAAAGTGAATCCATTTGTATCAGTCAGACTCAAGTCAAGAAATCGGAGGTGTCGTCACCTGAGAAATTTCCTTTGTGCTCCTTTACCACCAATCCTCTCTCCCGTCCACAACAAAGGCAATCACTGTTGTGGTTTCTTTCCATAAATTAGTTTGTCTTTTCTTGAACTTTATATAAATGTAACCATAATCTCGCATCTTTAACCCAATATAATGTTTTTGATGTTGTCTGTTTTGTTGCGTGTATCAGTAATTGGTTCCCTGTTGTTGCTGGGTAATAGTTTGCTACCTATCTATCTACCATATATATATATATTCCATATGTATTTCTATACCATATATATTTCTATACCATATATATTTCTGATTTCTATCAGTTCTTGAAACCAGGTTAAAGCTTAAATAAATTGTGAACCTATTCTTATGCCAAAATCGTGGTTGGCACAGTCTTCACCTCTTCTTTTTCATCACTCCTCAATGCCAAATATTGCCAGGACAGAGAAGCCTCAATCAAATATAGTGTCTTTCCCAGCCATGAAGAAGACAGGGTTGGGCATGCAAAGCAGAGGGCTACAATGCTCCATAGGACTCACAGGTGGAAGTTTCATTACCCTTGAAGGGTGTGGTATGTTTTCAAAGTATAGGAGAAGGCCAACCAATTTGACTTATTGAGGCTGTGTTTGCAGGGACAATAACGCTTGATGGTCCCATGCTTAGTGAACAGGGGCTCCTGGAAGAAGGAGAAAAAGAAATTTGATTAACATCAACTGGAACCACATCCATCCACTCTGGTCTTCCTCACTGGAGAGGAAATTTCGGGTCTGGGTACATGGAAGGTGCTCAGTAAAGTCTGATATTTGATTCACTTTCTATCAGTGTCTCTAGATTTTTGTTTCTGCTTCAATTTTTGCGTATAATAATAATTATAAAACAGCTCTTATCAATTGTGATTTACTGTTTACCAGGCCCAGTGCTCAGTTTCTACCTCCACTACTATCATATTATAAGAATATGATTAGTTTTCTTAATTTACAGATAGATAGTTAAATAACTTGCTTAAAACAGATCAGTTTTTAAGTAGCAGAATTAATATTCTCACCCATATTTGTGTGATTTCAAAGACTCAGCTGAAATCTTCTGCAGTGTGTGTCTATCTCATGTCTCTCTCAACTTATTATCAATGATTTATTTTCTGAAACATTCTTTTAGTATACTTTTTAGTATCAAAACTAAAAATATCATTACTTCTCTTTCTGTGTATTTTTATATCTCCCCTATCTGGGTCTCAGAGAATTTTCATATTCTGATCTGGGGCCTCACTACAGTTGATGCTATTTCCTTCCTCACATTCTCTCTTTTTTCTTTAGTTTCTGGAGCAAGATAGTATTTGTCTGTGACTAGTAAGAAATTGTTCCATAAAGCTGTAATAAATTGTTCTTGTGTCTCCTGTGTCTGTTTCTTTTCTTCCATTTTTAATAATAACATCCCCTATAACCTGAGCTATACCAGTATTTCCTTAGCCAACGCTATGGCCAGGTATCCTGAGGGATATCAGGCGTGAAACAAACATGCAAATAAATCCCATGGCTGCTGTCATCACCCTGGCAGTCTGAGCACTCTACTTTCAACCCAGAATGGGCAATGACGACACTAACCAATGCAAAGAAAAGGCATGAGTCACTAGACATTGCTGGCACGGTTATAAAGGCCTCGTGATCTGTGTTAGGTGAATTCAGGCAGAGGGAGAAATGAGCATTTGCCATGCGGCCTGCCACCTTAATAGCTACTATTTTCCTGCCTTGGTGCCTGCCTTTCCCTGTACCCCCTGCTACACACCGTAGAGGATTGGACTTTGTTACGGTAAGTGAGCTATCAGGACTACATTGTCATATTATGACTATGGTGGGCTCTGCTTCCATATATGTGTTATATGCATACACCATACTGCATAGTATAAAGATAAATAAATTCATATTACATATTAAATTGTTTTCTTCAACTCTAAGCTCATTTTTTTTCTTCTGATTTTAAAAGAAATGAAATTATCTTTGGGCCCCTAAAATTATTGTGCTTATTGTAACTAAGGAATAAATCAGTGCCAGTGTTTGTCTCTCACACTCTAGCCTTCTGTAGGTCATAGAGTGAACACTCGGGTGTCAGGATCTCTGAGCCAGTGAGGTGGAAAAGGGTCAGGGGAGGTAATTCAAAGGGCCTGATATGTCCTTTCTATTGACTGAAAAATCTCTCAAACTATCTGCCACACACTTTCAAATTTTTCAAGAAAATGCAAATTTGTTCCTCCAATGTTTTAAGCATCCGAAATGCCTAAAACACCTTATAACTGATTTTAGTCATGTACTTTATAATTGTTCAGGGACCTGGTAAAATTTCCTGCTAATACTTAGCCCAGAAAAATATGGTAAATCATGTGCCTCTGAGTGCCCAGTCAAGTTCACAATAAAATAAAGCCATAAAAATGCAATTTTATATAGAATATATAAATCAATCATGGGTTTATATCAAGTACTATCATAAGAACTGTAGTGTAGACCAAGTTGTATTATACGTGAGCATTGCCCTTAAAGTACTTTCAGTCCAGCTGGGGTTCAAATATAGATATAGAAAGCCTGACTATAATACAAGGTGCTATTTTTTTTCCTCCAGAAGTTGAGATTCTTTACACTGGACTGCTATGAAAGTCAATGGAGCCTTTGGAGAGTCTCCCGAAGTAGGCAGTATGTAGAGAATGAGTTTTCTAAAAGTACTTTAATGGAATGGAATATGTAAAAGCACATGGACGGGATGTGCAAAACCAACCAAATTCTACGTCCTAAGAGTCATAGATTCTGTCCTGACTGAGAAAACCTCAATCGTCAGAAAGACCAGAGACCATCTTCCCCGGGCAATTCCCATCTAATACCTGCGTGACCTTTATTCCTGGGCCTCTCTTACCTGAAACGTGGATGCTTTGTTTTTGGAGAATTTTTAACAGGTTATCTAAATTACTTTTTATTTTCTCACCTGTGTTTAATATTATCTACCCAGTGACAGGAGAATCAGGGAGAGTTGGCATCATTTGACTGAGAACAGGAGGTTGAAGAAGACCAGATAGTCAATGCACCGTGCTTCCCAGGCCCTCAAATGAGGCTATGCTCTGGGTAACTGATCCTGTGAGCCTGTCCTCACTGTCTCTAAGTATTCATCCCTTCCGGGTCTCTCACCCAGGACTATTTCCACCAGTTTTTCCTGCCCACGAAAGAGTCACCACTCCTCACCCAGAGGAGAGAGATACAGCTCCTGCAGCAGCTCCCTCTAAATGAGACAGACATACAAAATGAGCAGATGCTGGCTATGCAACATCGGCCTCGCTGTGGAGTAACTGAGGTGGCCAACAGCTCCGTCTTCCCAGGAAGTTCCAAATGGAATAAGCACACTCTGACCTATAGGTACTTGCTGTTAAGGCCTGGAGGAATGAGTGGGGTGATTACCTCAAAGGATTTCCTACAATATCTCTCCTGCCGGCACCTCTACTGTCTCCTGCATTCCCTATTCTCTACAAAGCCCCAAATCTCCCTCAGAGAAGGCAATTCTACTTGCTCTCATTCTAGCTTCCTCAGATCATCTCTTTAGGAACTGGAGCCTAACCTCTATCCTTTGACCATGAACCTACTATTCTTTCCTTAGTTAAATCTATTTTTTTTCTATGTGCATCTGTGTGTGGTGTTGGGGGGTGTATATAGGATATAATTTTGATATATTTTTGCTCCTTGTCTAGGCTACTTTTTCCCTTAGGAATCCTAAACATACAGAATAGATCCAAAGCAAAGCAGTACCTAACTATATAGAACACTGTACATTTCAGTTGAATTGACACTGATTTTTTTCTTTCCCCCAATTACCCTGTGGGGCTGTGGTTCTCAGACTTTAGTTTACATAAGGATAATGTGGAGAATTTGCTAAATTCTTAGAAATCTATATTTTGCAGGTTTAATTTCTTATTTTCTTTTCAATTTTCTGATTCAGTTAGTCTGGGATTTACTCTATTTTACAGATGAACAAAATGAGTCCCAGAATATTAAATAATTTGCCCCAAAGCACAGTCATTCTTTGTTAGAGCTAGGATAATTCTCATACCTCTGAGCTATTCCACTTAAAGATTTCTTGTTTCAGGATTATCAATTACCCAAGAGAAATGAAGCGAGACACAGTGAAAGACATCATACTTGATGCGCTTTCCATCTGGAGTAATGTGACCTCCTTGATCTTCCAGGAGGCAAAAAGCCAAGATGCAGACATCACGCTTTCTTTCTGGGACTTGGGTGAGAAACTGACATGGGAGGAAGGGTATGGGGTTCCAGGTAAAGGGCTAATCGTCTCAGTCTGTAGACAAAAACCCAGTCCAGCTAATCCAACTTCTGAGAAAAAAAATCCGGCAAAATCTTAATGGAAATCAAAAAGCTATAATACAGGTAAGACATTTTTGGTGCAATGAAACAGCAGGTAGGGGAGCGGAGGCACTGTGAACAGGGTAAGGAGGGGTTGCACATTTTCATGTCAAAAGGGAGTTGTGTAGCCATCCAATCTGTTGAACTGCTATTCAAAGTTGATCCAATCTATTTATAAAACCTGCAATCTAAGTTTCCTCCTCCCTTTTCCCTTCATATTGGCAAAAGTCTTTTGTGTCTAACTTATAACCTTCACTCAGTGTTTGCCATCTTTCCCTTTCCTCTTTTACCAAAAGAGATAGGCAGTAGCTAGATTTTTGGCCCCGCCCTATTCCTCTGCATAGATTGTGTCTTAGCCCTCTCATACCTCCAGCTGTACCCAGCTGCAAGGTATCCTAAGGCACTGAGGCTTACCTAAGACCATTTCTGCCCTTTCCCCAGACCCCCTGTTTTGACAATAGCTTCTATCATCATCCACAGCCCATGGAGATGATTGGCCCTTTGATGGGCCAGGAGGTATCCTAGGCCATGCCTTTTTACCAGATTCTGATGCTCCAGGAGTTATCCACTTTGACAAAGGAGAACACTGGTCAAATTCATACAAAGGTAAAGACCTTACTTGGCGGGAGTGACAGAACTCTCTGGGAGCTTGGGGGTTGGTATTGATGGTCTCCATTTGGGCCTGGAATAAAGTAAAGAGGATAGAGGGAAGGATTCAGAGTGGGCAGGATGAGGCGAGAAGATTTGGCTGAAGAATTGGGTCTCCTATTTGAGTGGGGGAGATGAGATCATTTCTAAATAAAGATGCTCCTATAATAAACACATTGTCATATTGTGCTTTTCTCTCTCCCTATCTCTTTCTTTCCATTTATCGGTCTCTCAATTTTCCTCATGCTTCTTTTTCACTTCCAGTTTATCTGTCTATATATTTTGCCATTTTGTGTCCCACCTAGAATTTTTCCTTCTCTGCCTGCCTTTTTCTTGCATTTTTATATCTGTTCTTTTCTCCTTTTCTGCTCTCTCCTTTTTTTTCTCCCATCTTTTTCACACACTTTCTGCCTTCCATATGAATATTTAATTTTTATCCTTTTGCCTATTCCTTTTCAGGGTTTAATCTGTTCCTGGTTGCCATTCATGAGCTAGGTCATTCTCTGGGCCTGAGGCACTCTGGAAGTCAGAACTCTATCATGTATCCTAGCTATGTGTATCATGACCCTAGAACCTTCCACCTTGGTGTTGATGACATCCAGAGAATCCAGCAACTGTACGGTATGTGTCTGCTGGAAGGGAGAGGGTTCTGGGGAGGAAATTCCAATGGAAGTTTGCTGTTTTCTTCTTTCTCCACCAGGAAAAAGATGTTCATCTGAAATGTCCTAATGCTGGCACAGAAGAATAATTCAATATGGCTTTTCAGTGGCTTCACTGAAGAATCAAACAGGTCAAAGCACTGAAGCAGCCTTGGGGACTGCTTGAACTAACCCCTAAAGAGTGGAACCTAGTCAGAGCAGCTGAGTCAAAACTCAGAACACTTCTGTGTCACAATTACGATAGTTTTTAAGAATAAAATTTTGTTTTTACAATTTGGTATGTCTCGGCATTTGATATGTCCAATCACTGAGATCCAGGCATGGGGGAGAGAAGAGTATAGTAGAGTGGAGAACTCTGGAAGAGATGGCCACGAACTCTCAAATTATGTGGAAAGGTAAGAAAAAATAAGATTAAGAATAAAGATTTCAGATGCTGCTACATGGTAGAGTTTGAGGAATATCATTTATGCTATATTGAAGATTGCAACTATACAGACCAACTGTTGAGATGGTGGCTTACCCACTTATTAGCTCTGAGACTTTGGGCAAGTTATTTAACCTCTTTATGGTTCAGTTTCACATTTGTTAAATAAGTGTAATCAGTTTACTGTCATAGGGCTAAGTGATATAATAAATGCAAACCTCTTTCATCAGTGCTTGGCAGCACAAGTTTTAGGTATTATTAATATTGTTGTTGAGATATTAGATAAAAACATGTACTGCTAAGTCTGTATCCTGAGGCCTGCATTTAGAAGAAGAAATCCTGGATGGAGAATATGGACTAGGTAGGGCAGCAGCATGTAATCAGACACATGTAATCAGTAGTAGAAGATATGAGGAGACATGCAAGGTATTAGACTGAAAGTCTATCCCACTCACCTGGCCAACATAAGCCTTATCTTCCTATTTTAGACTCAAGACAACTGGGGGAATCTTCTGATACCCCAAGGGGTTGTTCTGCCTCACACAATATCCCCTTGGTAATGAAAAGCCTGAAGTGAGGAAACTGAGTTTTAGGTAGTAAGCTGAAGTAAAGACATCTGCAGGGGGAAGAGAGGATAGAGCATTATATACATTATTTCAAAAATGATTAGGAAAGATTGTACTAAGGGGATACAAAAATGGGAGAAAAAAGGAAGTCATATGAAAGGAAGGTTTCATAGACAAACTATTTTAATGTCAGAGTTTTCATTATAAAATAATATAGCTCATATACTAGGATGAATGTATATATTTTTTTGAAAATATAAAGCGTATTTGGGAGTGACTTCTGAAAAACTCAAGTTACTCTGCATAAAATGCTAATTTTGAGCTCCCAACAGCAATTGGAGGAAAGTAGATGAGAAAGAAGGCAATAAAATTGATGAGAATCCTTTGTGTTACGGGTTGTGACATGTACAGATTCTCTGTGGTTTTCTCAATTTCAGAAAGCCATTTCCCAGAGGTCTTACCCTTCTCAGGGCATCCCATATTAGATGAATGGGTGAAGCTGGAATATAAATATCCTGGCATTTTCATCTGTCACAGGGAAATTATTTTGAGTAATGCATTAGAGAGCCCCAGTGTGTTGGGCAAGAAATTGTCAGGCGTGTGCTGCAATTCAACTTTTCTCTTTGTTCAGTCCTGCTTCCTCCCTCTTCCCCTCATAGGTGATGATTCCTAATAAGTGCTTTGCATCCTGAATTCTGCCATAGTATCTATTTCTGGAGAACCCAACCTCTGACAACTGACTTTTCTAAAAGTCAATGAAATTATTTCTCTATTGTGTGACTGGTAAGTGTAAAAGAGAGAATGCATATAAAACCAAAATCAGCAATGGAAAAAGGCGGTATCTTGACACTTCTGTCAACAAATAAGATGCATAAACTGCAAGAGTAGCAAAAAATTTACTTGGGTTCTCAAGAATCGCAATTTCAGGAGCACAGATTTCAGTAGAAACCCAAATAGTGTCCTACTAAGGAGTAAAAGAGAGGGGTTTCTAAAGGCAAAGAAGGCAGATTGTATTACAAAGGATTTTAATTGGAGTTGGAGGCGGAGAGTTAGGGTTGTCTAAACATTGATTGACTGTTGATTCTATCTTCAGAAAGTCTACAATCCTCATTCTTTGTGATCAGGATGTTAGTTCTCCTGCTGACTTCTTAAACAATTGTTTATGAAACAATTGCCATTTTGGCCCAGTCCAAAGGTTTGGCTCAGTCCAAAGTTCAAGAGAGCAAAGTAGTTTCTCTGGAAAGGCAGCTCTGACTCTCTTCTAAAATGGCTCCACTATAGTCAACTGTGTTTGACACTCTTGAAGACACTGAAAAATCATATGATATATAATGGGTAACTTTTACCCCATAAATATTAAAATATATGACAAATAGAAATGGAAAGCAATAGGATATATTGGAGTATATGAGGAAGACATTTGGTGTAAACCTAATTCGGCCTGACTTTGTTTTTTCCAAAAGGGACTGACAATGGCCATTGAGCACACATTGTATATCTGCTTTAAACATTTACTATGGCAAGAACAAATGCCCTTAAGATAAAGGTGGAACTTCCCCCTACATTGGCATTTCCTGAAGGATAAGCATCTTTCCTTAAGCTAGGAACTGATGCCGTGCTCACCTTTGACCACCCAGCTTGAGACAACAGACCTGCCACATTGCTGTGTTTACCGAGACAGCAGACCTACCTGCTGTGTACATCAATAGCTGTGCCAACAGAGCAGTCTCATGACAATTGTAAAAGGGACATTTCAATCATAATGTGAAACATCCTGTTTGGGGGTATATAACCACTCTGTGCACCCCACTTCTTTGGTGCCCTTTCTTCCTTTGGGAAGAAAGGCCCCAGGCCAAGGTCCTCAGATTTTAGCTCAGCATAAACTCTCCCAAATTTTCATTTGGCTCTGGTTATGGATTATTTTCATTGACATATATATCCAAAATACACATGTTTAGATAAACACAACTTACGAAAATATGCAAAAGGAGAAACAGAAAATCCAAATAGCACTATTGATGTTTAAAAATATAATCTATAATTATATCTTTCCACAAGCAGTTTCAAAACTGACAAAGGAGAAAATCTAAACTGTCTTTTGACTATTATCTATCAAAACTATAATTGAAAATTATCCCCAGATAGCTATTTAATAAAGAAACCATACCAATTGTACACAAAATCTTCTAGTTGGGGAAAAAGAAAGGACTATTTCCTAAGTTATTTTTGAGCTACGCATAATTCTGTAGCAAAACATGACACAGACATTACAAGTAAGGAAAATTTCAGGTCACTCTCAGTGATGAACATAGATATAAAACCCCTAAACAAAATGTTAACAACTCAAATCTAGCAATAAATAAAGGAAAATAAAGTGACGCATTAAACTTGGGTTTCTTCCAGAAATATAAAGTTGATATTTAAAAATCAATTGATATAATTAATCACATTAATAGGATAATTGTGGAAAATCAAATAAATCATAAAAATCATAAACTTCAATGGACACAGAAGATAATTTTATGAAATTCAGCATCCAGTCTTTATAACACACTCATCAAATGAACAATAGAAGGTGTGGTTTTTTTGAGGAAGATTAGCCCTGAGCTAACATCTGCTGCCAATCCTCCTCTTTTTGCTGAGGAAGACTGGCCTTGAGCTAACATCTGTGCCCATCTTCCTCTACTTTTCATGTGGGACACCTGCCACAGCATGGCTTGCTAAGCAGTGCGGTAGATCGACACCCGGGATCCAAACTGTGAACCCTGTCCAAAGCGGGATGTGTGAACTTAACTGCTGTGTCACCAGGCCAGCCCTAGAAAGTACGTTTTTTGATAAAGTTAGTTGCCAAAAATCCTAGCCAACGTATTTCAGTGGTGAAAAGTTGAGAACGTTACCTGTGAGATCTACAAAGAAAAAGCATAAGTTTCCTTACTTCTGTCCAAAATCGTGCCAGAGGTCTTAACCAGAGCAATAAGTCAATTGTAGTGTAAGCCCTGACAGGTGGTCTTTCGTTTTTGTAATGCAAGTGACTTAAACTTTGATTGCTGAGGCATCCACTTCCAAGATGGCTATCTCAAGTACACTGTAAACATAGTGCCAGCCACACAGCTGAAGAACCAGCCACAGCCGCCCCCAGGCTCCTAAGATAACTGATCATTTGAGCCACTTGTTTTTTCTCTCCCTGAGCTTTAAATTCCCACTGTTAGGTTTTAAATTCACCAAGAAAGTGTAAGCCCTCAAAACCATGGGCCTCTACCCTCAACCCCGGAAAAAGCAGAAACCCAGGTCTGCACTATCTTTACCTGCAGCCTTGCTGTGTGGCCCCAGGTGTGCCATGTAATTTCAAGGACTTTTTTTTCAAAGTTTCTTGATGGTTATTGCTGAGGGTCTCTTGCAGTCATAACAAGAATTGCAAGGGCCACAAGACTCCTTATGGATAGGCTGAGGTTGGCACAAAACATCAATAAATACAAGATATAAGGATTAAAAATAAAGGATAAAGAAGCTGGCATTACTCACGGAGGTAAGATTGGTACAAAATAAGGCCTAAAGACTATACAGATGAGTTATTAGAAATAGAAGTAAGCTTAGCAGTTTTTCAGGGAAAAGGACAAATATAAATTGATTTTATTTTTCTATATCAGTACCAAACATTTAGTTGAAGAGAGTTTATAAGTACTATTCACATTTAGAGTAAATTAATGTCAAATACTTTAGAATAAATCTAATGTAAGATATATAATATCTCTCAACAGAAAAGTATAAGATAATATTGAGAAAAAATAAAGACCTTAATTAATTGAAGTCCTTGTTCTTGAATTGGAAGATCTTGTAATCTAAATATTTCAGTTCTCCCAAAATTGATCTATAGATTCAATAAAATAAAAGTTCTAATATATATCTTGCTGAAAATTGATAAGCCATTTCTAAAATTTATAAATAAATGCAAAGAGGTAGATAATCAAGATATAAGCTGAGAAAAAGAATAAAATAATGCCTTGAGAAGCCACACTCCATACTGTGGAAACAGTGATGAACCAGATAATGAATGATTTTTGCCTTTACAGAGCTTAATATAGAAGCTTGAATCCTGCATTTGCTTAATAAATGATTATTAAATACATAACTAATGAACAACCCTGTTCAGTGAGAAGCGTTTTATAGCAGAAGAACCTCTCACTGTACTTAATTACCGTGGCTCTATATGGATGCCCCTAACGAAGCTGAAATTTCAATATTCCTCTAGGTTAGAGTAGTTATTATGACTTCACTCTCATACGCTCATTAGAGAAGAGAAAACTACCACATTTGAAAGAAAGGACTGGGAGTAGTAGATACAAATAGAGACATATTTCTACAATTTCCAGGATCATAGTCATATGCTCTTTACACATTGGGATTAAGGGCTGTTTATATTACTTTCTTCTCTGGGGATCGAGCACACTCTGACACCAATCCCTAATTGTCTACCCCAGTAGAAATCAGGAGTATTTATAAAGATGGTGGAAGCATTCCAGCCTCACTATTCACGGAATCAGAGGTTTTCAAGACCTGAGGTCCATGGAGAATCAAAATTGTAGCATCTATAATCAGAAAAAGTTTGACCTTCAGATAAAGATGAGAACTCTTCACAGGTGAGGGATAAACTAAAGACAGCAAGAACTAAAAGCACAGAAATACAGAGAGAACTGAGAAGAAAGATAGAGGAAGTAAAAGGACTGGGGAAAAAAGAGAATTACATGCAGAAAAGACACACATTTAAGCAAAGCAAAATAGAAGGAAATGGCAGCAGGAAGCAGAATAGGGAGGATAAAGATGTTCAGAGTAAATTAAGTGACAGAGAGAGAGAAAGCCACAGAAATAGAAAGAAAATATGATTTTACCTACAACAGAGGAAAGTTTAGGCAGAGAAAGACAAAATGAAACTGAATGATTTGGGAAATAGACTACTGGTTGTGTGATTAAGCATTCATACTGATGTAACTGGCTTATATGTGAATTTCAAGGGTGTTAATTTTTAATTACAAATAAATAGTGGGAAGATTTTGGCACAGCTTGTGTTAAGATACGAGGGCTAAAGATAGTAAAATCATTAGAAAGACAGTATACAATTTACACAGGAGGGGAAAATGGGTGTCATTCTCTTTGTGAACAATTTTGAAATTTATGGCATATCGTAATGTCCTGCTATAGGCTGGTCAGTAGAAGATAGTTTTTGAGGACTGCAGGTAAGATGCCGGAGAGGCTGTGATAAAATGGTGTTATCCTCAGTGGTTCTCCCTGAATTACTCGGAATAAGTTAGTGCGTGACAGCAGTCTTTTCATGCCTATGCCCATTGAAACAGTTTTGTCCTTAGTCCCAGTTTCTTCTCACTACTTCTTCTCACCTCACTATGAATAAATTGTGTTAAAATAAACAAAGAACTGAAAGAATCATTGTTAATGACTTAAAAGTAGAGTCAGAAGAAAATGAACAGAGAAGGGGCAATAGAGGGACTGAGAAAAAGCGAAAGACGTGACAGATGAGTCAGTGAGAAAGAAAGACAAGACAGAAAGAGCCTAAGTAGGGATATTCTTGCCTATCCTACCTTTAAATCTATGGGCAGTCTCACAATGAAGTTTTCTAAACACTTCAATCTGCACTCAGAGAACTCAGAGCAGAGAGAAAGACATTCCTAAGGAACAGTGATCCATTTTATTTCCTACAACTTCTCTGAGAATTGAAGAAAGTGTGATTTATATCAAGATTGAAAGAATTAAAGGAGAAAGCACAGAATAATTTCCTTACATGGGGTACAAGAAACTCTCCCTCTCTTGTGGTCACAATATAATCTTTGTGTGTGTGTGTATGTGTGTGTGCACACGTGCGCGTGTGTGTGTGTGCTCTATATATTTCAGTGTTAATGTCTAGAATGTTTTGATGAGCTGAACTTTAGAACAAGATTTAAAACAAAAGTTTTTGCCAGAGGAAGAGAAAAAAAAGAAAGTCAGGAGGGACTTCAGCAGATTGTGGAGACTGGAGAGAAAAATGCTGCTTGGAGGTAAAGAAAATAAATGTGTTGTGTAAGTATTCTGCCCACTAGATGTAGAACATGATGAGTAGCTGACTGCTTTATCCAAGACAAGGGACCTGATGAAAGCTCCATTTAGAGGTCTCACTTGGTGCTGGAGAAGAAGACCAGGGAGGTGTCTGACTCATAGGGAATGGGGGGATGCCTGGACTTGAGGATAAAGGGAGAAAGAGAAGGACATTTCTTATTATGTGGAGAAGATAGCTTGGTATTTATTTCTGTACCTAACATATAGATTTTAATCCAAAGTCCTCTTTGGAATTAGAGATTATTCAGCCTGACAACTCTTAGTATTCACACTATAAAATTGATATAAGAATCAGCCAAGAAGGGAAAATTTGAAAAAAAAAATGAAGCTTTTATAAAATAAAATAGCGGCAATAAAAGGTCAGTGCTAGTCAGAACCTATGCTAAATAAGAGGCTGCATTTGGAAAGATCTTCACTTCAAGCCAGGGTTGAAATCTGTGATAGACTTTTAAGAGGCCAGAGACCAAGGGTCTGTAAGGAAGGATGAAAGAGATGCTGAGATGCTGCAGCGGAGATGTCTGAAATCGAGGAAGCCTAGACTCTTAATGACTAAGTGAAGAATTTTCTCAAGGTCAGTAGACAGGGCTAACATAAGGAACCAGAGGACTGAAGGGACAAGAGAGTCCTGCAGAGTTAGCTGCTACGCCCAATGCCATCAACCCAGGCTATAGCAAGGGCAGCATTAACAGAGGCAATCACCATGAAGATTGCTCAGAGAAAGTAAAGCCAGACATTAGAATTACATTTTGAAAAGGGAAAATTAACTTGGTTGTTCTTAAGAGGCACTAATGGTGAGTACTCAGAACTGCATTTCTGAGATTGCTATGGGTTCATGGAGGTAGGTGCAAATGGGTCATAAAATTGGAAAAACATTTAACGTTTAGGTTTAATATTTTTAAAAATGTGATTATAAGCATCATTTTGAGAGGAAAAAACAAGCAAGAAATGATGAATAGAAACAATGTGGATATTCCCCATTGTTACAAATGTAAGATATACAGTATATGACAGATTGAGCTTAAATATATTGTTTTAATTTTATTTTGTGAGTCGGCATACAGGAAGAGCTTCAAGAGTTATGTTATGACCTTATGATATATATAATATATGTATATATTTTTCTTGCTATGAGGAGTTTAGGTTGCAGAAGAGTTATCATATTAAACAGTCAAAAATATGCAAGTGTACCAGAATTATGGAGTTTTTTACCCTTTTTCATGCTGCTTTTTTTTTTTTTGGTGAGGGTGTTGGCCCTGAGCTAACATCTGTGCCAATCTTCCTCTATTTTGTGTGTGGGATGCCGCCACAGCATGGTTTGATGAGTGGTGTGTAGGTCCATGCCTGGGATCCAAAACGCAAACCTTGAACCCTGGGCTGCTGAAGTGGAGCACGCAAACTTAACCACTACCCCATGGGGATGACTCCTATGCCTTCTTTTCATATAATGGGGTGTTTATTTTTTATTATTAAAGCATTGAATATTTTTAAGTTTTAAATATTATAAATTATTAAATAAAAATAAATATGAAGGGATCTATGTTGAGTTCTTGGGACCAATTCAGTTTTCAGGATAGCCTAGAAGCAATAAATGATTAACTCAAGAACGTTACTGGCAGGAAGCTTATGCAAATCCAGACATTTACTCTGACTTTTCTCCCTTTTCCTTTCTATAATGTGTAGTAAAGATTTATTTCTCTGCTGTTTTGCTGCTTAAAGGTTTTAGTGTCTTCAGTGCAAATCCATCAAAGTTCTTGTCAGAGGTGACCAGACTCATGTAGTACACAGCTTTGTTCCAGAATTTGGTGCTTTTTACTACTGGGAAATGTTTCTTGCATGAGAACCTTAAGAAGTACCTCCTTCCTTCCTCTGTGAGGTTAGAGGAAAGATATATTGTATCCTGATTACACTGCTTATGCTCACATGGATAATTTTGAATGATTAAAAAAAATAACAGAAAACATTCCTCACTGTTTGCCAAGGATGACTATGGTGGTCTGGAATAACAATGATACTGTGGAGCCCATATTTATTCTGAAGGGTTTTCCTGGACTGGAGTATGTTCATTTTTGGCTGTCAATCCCATTCTGTCTTGCATATTTGGTAGCATTTATTGGTAACATTACTGTCCTTTCTGTCATTCGCATAGAGTCCTCACTCCACCAGCCCATGTATTACTTCCTTTCCATCTTGGCACTAACTGACCTAGGTATGTCTCTGTCCACACTCCCCACTGTGCTTGCTGTGTTGTGGTTGGATGCTCCGGAGATTCAGGCAAGCGCTTGCTATGCTCAGCTCTTCTTCATCCATACATTCACATTCCTGGAGTCCTCAGTGCTGCTGGCTATGGCCTTTGACCGTTTTGTTGCTATCTGCCGGCCACTGCACTACACTACCATTCTCACCAACAGTGTAATTGGCAAGATTGGTTTGGCCTGCTTGCTAAGAAGCATGGGAGTTGTACTGCCCACACCTTTGCTACTGAGACAGTATCACTACAGCCATGTCAATGCCCTCTCCCACACCTTCTGTTTACACCAGGATGTTCTGAGATTATCCTGTTCAGATGCCAGGATCAACAGTGTTTATGGACTGTGTGTAGTTATCACCACACTTGGCATGGATTCCATCTTCATACTTCTTTCTTATGTCCTGATTCTGAATGCTGTGTTGGGCATTGCATCTCGTGAAGAGCGGCTAAAGGCACTCAACACGTGCGTATCCCATATCTGCGTGGTACTCATCTTCTTTGTGCCAGTTATTGGGGTGTCAATGGTCCATCGCTTTGGGAAGCATCTGTCTCCCGTAGTCCACATCCTTATGGCTGACATCTACCTGCTCCTTCCCCCAGTGCTTAATCCTATTGTCTACAGTGTCAAGACAAAGCAGATTCGTCTCAGAATTCTTCGCACGTTTGGACTAGGGAGACTTCAAACTCTATCCTCCAGCTTTCTCACTGAAAAATGTTGCAACAGCTGTTTGAGTAGATGAGAAGTAAAATATTGGGGGCTTGATCATTTGGTTAAATTCCTAAGTTTTTCACTTCCTATGTATGTGATCTCAGTTAATCACTAACACTTATGAGATTCATGTTTCCATAGCCAAATCATAAGTATGGTCTTTTCTATCTCCAAGATAATTATGAGATTTATAATAGACAATGCATGCAAACTAAATTTTTTTGAAAACTACAATTTGTCAATATTATTAATTATTCTTAATGATATAATAATAATTTTCCTTATTAAATGTAACTATGTTTATGTAGTTTCTCATGTTTATGTTCTAAAACCCAGAAATCGCTCTCTCTCTTTTTCTAATACATTTGCCCATATTTTGGCTCTCATGCCGAAATGTTATAACTTTTTGTGAAAATATTCCTGACTTCTTGGGGCAAGTTTGGAACTTGATAGTGTCACTATTGTTTACGGACCAAGTCCTCACCTCATCACTTGAGCAGTGATGTGTCTTTTCTTCCATTGCCACTGTAGATCTATCTGCTCTTTCAATTTACCAGCAAATACTGAGGCAGACACTGAGGAGTTACTCAAGAGAGCCTGACAATGCGTGTCTAAACATCTGGGTAAATGCGTATAGTTCAACACTATAGCACAGGATTTTAGGTCTTACTCTGTGAGTGGGTGGGGAGTTGTGAAAATAACACCTTCATCTTTTAATATTTTCTACTCTCATACTATATGTCTGTGTGAATCTTTAATATCATTGCCTTTCTCAGTTTCTTTATTGCCAATAACTCATTACTTTTTTCTTCTTTATTAAGATGACTTTCATATATGTTTTCATTGATGATATTTTATTGTTTCATATATATTCATTTTCTTCTCAGTTGTGTTGCAAACACCTTGAGCATGGAGTTTGCGTATCTTGAGCCATACCAATCTCCTTTGTCAACTTTCACACGTCCTCCACATGAACTCTTTGAATCAGGCTCAGTGATGAACTTGTGTCTCTGAACATACCATGTTAAGAAAATGAGAGCTTCCCAGATTTCCCACGGCACACATATTGTCATTATCCTAATTTCTCTTATAATATGAATTAATAACAGGATAATTTTAAGTCTGGATGGTATTAAAACATAAAATAAGTATATCAGCCCTTCCACTTAAATACATTTATACAGTTTTCTTTGGTAAAGAAATCTCAATTGGAAATTGTCCTACTCACTCCCCCATTAGCTCAGTCAATAAACTCCATTTATTTAAGAGAAAGATGGATGTGACTATGGGATTATATGATAAAGATTTGTGAAAAATGAGATTGGCTGAGATTTGGGAGAATGATGTTATCCTGGAAAACTGGAAATATGGAATTAATGATTAATCTTCAAGAACATAGAATGAATATAGCAACTAATCATTTAAAATAAGTCTGATTTAATTAGATGGAGGTGAAAAGAAGTTTAAAAATATCATTAGACAGATTGGTTTTCTTGTTCATATTTTCCCTGGATTATTTCACCTTTTCAGAAAAAAATCAATCTTCTTAATGTCTCATGACTAATAAGATACCAAGAGTGCTGAATCCTGAAAACCAAACTCATTTGATACGATGTATATTTTAGAATGTGAAAATTTAACTTAACACGTGAAATGCAACTTTTCTAGACTAGATAAATACTACTCAAAGGAAGAAAGTTTGCTTTCTGAAAACAATTATACATGAAAATCCAAATCATGGTTAAAAGACTGTCTGATATTCATGAGATTAGATACAGAGAAATTAGCCATATGATTTAATTATTTAGTGGCTATGAAATTTGATGTACCCTTTGAAAATACTTGCCAAGGGCTTTGAAAGCAGTTTTAGCTCAGGGTACAAAATACAGGGTCACAAATTTGGTAGACTGACAGAATACTAAGAATAACTAAATAATAAATCTGTAGCAAAGGAACAGGGAATCAATTTTTGAATATCTGTTATTGAGCACTTTATGCATTCTACATGCTATGCATACATTAACTCATTGAATATTTTAAACATATATAGGAGACAGATAAAATTATTATGAATTCATTACATACATAAGGAAAGAGAGGCAAAAATGGCTAAGTAATGTTCCCTAGGTTACATAGTCAATAAGTGCCAGGATTGGGATTCTAAGGTAAGAAGCTCAGGATCTACAGTCCATGTTCTTTACTTTCATGGTCCTAGAGTCCATGCTCTTTGCCTTCATATTACCCTGAGACTTAAACACAGAACATTGGGTTTTAGTTCAGTTTTGTTCCCTCCTCTCTCCTCCAGCTTAAATCAGGGTTTCTCTACCTTGGCGCTATTGACATTTGGATGTGTACATTCTTTGTTGTGGGGCCTGTCTCACCCATTGTAAGATATTTAAAAGCATCCCTAGCATCTACAAACTAGATGCCATTAACTTTTCCTAAATTATCCTAAGTTATGACAACTGAAAATGCTTCCAGACGTTGTCAAATATCCCCTGGTAGGAAAAATTGATTATTGTTGAGAATTACTGCCTTAAATCAAGGATTCTCTCAACTCCATTCCTAAATGGAGTTCTGCAGAACATAAATTTTAGATGTTAATAAATGCTGTCTGGGTCTGCCCCGTGGCCAAGTGTTTCAGTTCACGTGCTCCGCTTTGACGGCCCAGGGTTTCACCGGTTCAGATCCTTGGTGTGGACATGGCGTCCCTCATCAAGTCATACTGAAGTGGTGTCCCACACAGCACAACCAGAGGGACCCACAACTAGAATATACAACTATGTAGTGGGGAGTTTTGGGGAGAAGAAGAAGAAGAAAAAAAAGAAGATTGGCGACAGATGTTAGCTCAGGTGCCAATCTTTAAAAAATAAATGAATAAATAAATAAATAAATAAATAAATACTGCCTGGATAAAATATATCTGGAAAAGGCTGGCTTATATTATATTAGTAGGTTTCCTCTAAGCTGGAGTTCCCTGAAGCATTAGCACACAATATAAATATTCACACGCAAGGTTATTACAACATGCAGTTTGTCCAAAACCTGGTTGACCAAGGCTCACTTTATTTGTTTGTTTGTTTTGGTCATTAATTCTATTTAAATATGGTCTATTTTACATGTTTAGAAAATCGGATATAGGAAGTGTAAAGAATTAGCACTTTTGAGCAGCTAGTAACTGCTGTCTCTGCTTATTCAGAATACAGACTTTTTCTTGTACATTATTCTAAGACCATTATTTTTCTCCATCAGATGATCCCAGGGACACTTCTCAGTTGCTGTCAAATGTGAACTCCCAGATTCAGAATTTGATATGACCACTTCCTTTTCCTGAGCAAGAGAAAAATCTCCAGTGGCAGTGGCATCATTCATCCTCCCTGCAGGTTGCATTGAGAAAAAAATAATTAGTCCTGAGGGAATGGAAAATTCAAGAGGAGGCACAGCATTTAAAGTAGTTAAAGGTAGAAGTGTAGTGCTGATAAGGCACCTGGCTGGATAGAGTCAAGGATGCTGAATGCAAAAATATCCTATCTTGGCTCTGGAGTTGCTGAAAGAGAAATGAATGCTTCCCTCAGGAATGCTTCCCTCCTTGAAGAACCATCTGCCTTAGGATCCTCTTCCCTTCTGTCCATCTTCAGTGGCTCTCTCTACCTATAAGAAGTCGCTAGGCCTGGCCGACTGGAGACCCAGCCAACCTGTAGCAGTGTGAATGGCTGTCTACACCTCAGGGCTCAGGTATACATGATGGAAAGCTCCTGAGGTGAGGACAATAGGTAAGAGATTAATATCCAAAATATTTGAAGAATCCGGGAAGTAGAGGACAAAGTCAAGATGTAGGACTGACTGTTGGTCATGTGAAATTATTGTTTTGGGATAGGTCAGAGGTACAGATTGTCATTCCCTCACAAGAGCCAGACTATCATCCTCAAAGGCTGTGCAGAAGAGCTCTCGGATGGAATGCCATTGTAAACTCACCTCCAGATATAGATAGAACCTACGATGGGAATCCATGTGCTGAAATGTTCCATCTCTGAAAACACTGCTATCTGACATTAACTAAAGATTATATTGTTAAAAACAGTGATGATGATGAGGATGATAATGTCGATGATGATTTGAGTACCTCCTCTATCTCACTTTCATGTATATCATACACACTTAGGATTATTATCAGCCAAAAAAGGAATTAGACAAAATAATTCTCAAGAGTAATCCCAAGGGGTAACATTTTTACAAGTGATAACACTTGGGCATTCCAAGTCACACCTGCCTTTGGATTACTGTGGTATATGGCTGATATGCTTAAAGATTGTGGCTATTTCAGCATCTCCATTAACATTTTGCTTCATGTAAGCCCAAAGTATCTCCTAGGTCTTAGACTCTGTGCCAAGTATTTTTGATACACTTTCTTGAATTTCTTAAATATTACATAAGGTAATACAATTCCCATTTTTTACAGTCAAAGAAGTTTAGTAATCTGTCCAATGTGATAGAGGTAATGAATGACAGTTGTCATCACTTTCTCTGATTCTAGAGGAATAACCAATGAGAGCAGGGTGCTTGTGTCCTTATCTGATAGACCCATTTATAGAAGACGATTTATGAATATCCTAAGTCAGAGACTTTTCTGTTAAGAAGTAGGAGGAAGTGATCTAAGAGGAAAGATCCAGCATACCTGGGCAGGATGGAGTCTCTTAAGAAATAGAAAGATTTGAAGGAAGATATCAAGGAAGAAGAAAATAATTGTGTGCGAGTGCCCAAGTGATGATAGTTGTTCAGTGACGTTAAAGGAAACCAGAAGTTTTGTGACATAAAAAGGTAGGAAAGTGAGGAAGGTGTATAAAGACCAGTATTGCCTAATATGCTATGATTAGTATAGTAATAAATCACAGGATGACAATATGTAAAGTAATTGTTCTCTTTATTTTATGTGCTCCTAAAAAGGAAAGCAAATGGTATCAGAGTGGAAAAGTTTCTGTGGTCTCTATAGGGAATTAGTTATTTTATTAAGTCTGTCAGAGGAAAGTATAA